GTCCTTCCAAGGGACCATGCAGTTCCCACATGACTGACCTCCGCAGTCCCGGGGCCTTACAGGGTTCCTAACCCAGGAACGGGGGTCGATGGGCTACAAAGAGCGGTAACAACCCCATTGATGCACGCAGCACATGATGACCTAATTGCGCCTTGGTCGGGCCCCAGCCCTGGCGCTCCCCCAAGCTTACCCGTGCTGCTATACTTGTACACAACACTACACATCTTGGACTCATAGTTTATTGGCGATAACTTCCTTGACGTCCTACAACTGAACTTCCTGCCGAGCGTGGAGAAGCCCGGCCAACGCTTGTAGTGTCTGCAGCCAATAGCGGTAACAGCGGTAACAACGGCCTGCAGCCGATAGTGTCCCTCGGGTGTAGCGGGACACTAACTTACCAGCGCTCCGAGCGAACGGGACAGCATGCCCGAACATGCTGACGGGTGCTAGCGGGCACCCCTAGTCGTTCGCCTTTTCGCGTTGCCCTCCAAACACGACTCCCTTCAAAATCACGGGTACGACCTTTCCCTGCTCGGATTTCCCGAACGGACCGTTGATCCTTGTTCAGATGGGTGTGAGACTTTGCAACTCGCTAGCAAAATCTGACGTCTTCAGGAAGCTCACCGCGTAGCAAATGCACGCAGGACTACTGTAAAACTTAATCCACTGCAGGACTACTGTAAAAGCAAATCCGCTGCAAAAGACGAAAGTCGAGCGCATGGCACCATTCACTGCCTTCTAACTGACAACCGTGATCACAACCAAAATCTTGGCAGAATTTGTGTCCAGCTGCGAAATATTTAACCCCCATATGGCATACCGCTTCAGTCACAGCAGCTAACACACCCACGCCAGCTGCAAGCTCGCATCTGTAGATGCAGCTCAAGAAAAAGATCAGGGAATGGTCTCAGCTGCTAATGAGAAAACGCTAAATTGATTTCTCAGTAGATTCCATGTTCGGTCTTCTTGCAACTGGGCATGTTGTACCCTCCCTTTCAAAAAATGAGAAGAGCGTCGGGTGCAGACCATACACCACAAGTGACGACGGCCTCCAAGTAAATCTGGTTAGTAGTGGTTCATAGTGATAGCTGATTTTTGGTAAATGATAGTTGTAATTAGTGACAACTGATAGAATACAACTGCAACAGGCTAATCATTTCATTGGCAGAAAACATTTACATTTTGTGGAGGCCGTCGTCACTTGTGGTGTATGGTCTGCACCCGACACTCTTCTCGTTTTTGAAAGGGAGAATATATTCCGTGTTGTTGTTGCTATGCCATACAGGTTGTTACGGTGGAATAGATTTATTCGGTCGACGTTTCGAACAATTCGTCGTCTTCAGGACCTGAAGTTGGTTCGTAGTTCTTAGGTTAGCTTGCAATTAATCCGGTCAAGCGCCTCGCATATTTATTATTTTTATTTATTATTCGAAGCTTTGACCGGATTAATTGCAAGCTAAAAACCACGAGCCAGCTTCAGGTCCTGAAGACGACGAATTGTTCGAAACGTCGACCGATTTTATTCGAACAAGGGGGTCGCATTTGCGATTTCGCGAAGGGGGAAGGTCGCATTTTGGGGTTGAGTGAGGTGAATGATCCTTTGGACCAGTGCAAATGGAGGTGGGTGAAAGAGCGTGAATTAGAGAAATTGGAGGATTTGCCGCTTCCATGATACTAATTCACTCCCTCCTGCTCGACCGGGGTTTTGGAGGGAAATGGAGGATAAGTGGACGGAGCTGGGCTGTGTCGTCCCATAATCAAATACTATAGAAACAGCCATGATGACGAGGGTGGTGGTCGGGGTAGGGAGGAGGGGTACGTATTGGGGGAGCCTCCTAAGTCTCATGTGGTGTTGGAGGGACACATCGAGACCATCCCTATAGGGAGAGGGGGTTACACAAATTTCTGAAAAAGTGTGCGAAACGACGTTGACCCTGAAAACGACACACTAAATTGATTATTCACAATAATTGTTAACCACATACCCTTTCATAACATATCCGAAATTGATATCTGGAAATTTTCTTGCCATCAATAGAACATTTCGAGATTCTACAATTTCTTTCTTGATCACAAACAATACGGTAGCATACGACAAATTCTGTAAACAATCAGTGAGTAATCGTTGAAGATTTTTGGAACCAGTCCCTAAAATTTGTCCGCAACTCACTTTAAATGAAGCCAAGGCTTCAACGCTTTCAATCTTCAGAACTGAAACGGCGAGCACACTCTGAAAAGCGCGAAATATGCTTTAACCCTTTGACGACCGTATGGCCCGCCGGCGGGCCACACAAAATCGATCGCGTGTGGGATCGCATGGCCCACCGGTGGGCTACATGCGTGTCTGAGCGTGCGGCTCCCACACGCTAGGTTAAATTACGAAAAGCACTACTTTCATTCAGGAAGAAGCGAAGCTAACCTGATAGAAGCGTAAAACATCTCGGACGCAGTACGTTCTCTTTCATACCTGATAGCATTCGTGTCACCCAGGAAAAGGAAAGGTTCTTGGAACAGACCGTATATGGTTGTCAATGGACATGTTCTGGTTTCTTGAATCTTTGGCATCCATCTGAATTACGCAGTGCTAATACGCATATTCGTAATAACTTCGTATGTGTTGTGCGGTCAAACATAAAAAGATAAAGGATAAGACATTTGGTGTCGATCAGTCCTTTCCAGCGATGCGCCATGTATTCTACTTCTATTCGAAAATTTCCTGGCATTTGAATGCGACTTCACCACTCGATGGCTGGCACAATGTGAGTCATGTTTCTATCTTCCAGAAGGAGTCTGGAACCAATTCGTCGGTCCCGAATTTCGAGCTGAGAGTTGGATGGCGCAGGGGATATGCACCAACATGCCACTTCTTCAGCTAGTTCTTCCAGCTTCTGCTAAGCGATCAAGGTAACCATGCTAGGATCCTACTAACCATCTATAATTATCTTACACGTGTCTTCGCCGCCGTCTAATGTTTGTCTGCCAAATAAATCCGATATTATCTGCCATGTAGAGGCTCTGGCGCAAATGCAAGGATATAATGAGAGCATGGACCAATTGAAGCACATCAAGTAGTGACGAAATCCGTCTGAACTAACGATAAGTCGACAGAAAAAGCTAGAATCATTAAAAAAAAAGGGCGGCGACGGACACCGAAAAACCCCGTTATCGTACCTAACAACAAGCCCGAGACCGAGAAAAAGTGGGCAGAGACGTGCACCAGTTAGCCAGGTCGAGGGTAAATTATGTTGGGCGGGGTGTTCTCTAGATGTGCGGTGATTAACTAAGTGTTTGTAACTCTTTATTAGGAAGCCTACAAAGCGGAAAAAATGATGGAGAAGGGAAATGTCAATGGTATATCAAGCAGACTTTGAGTGGAGGTTCACTCACAACAAGCGAAGCGTGTCCCTAATAGGCTGGGTTTGCCACAGGTTATCGTGATCCGGTTAGAAGACCCGGAGACGATGGTGAAGTGGGCATGTGGAGGGGAGTCCGAATGCTATCGGTGATGGGGTGTGCACCCAGATGAGCTTCCCAAATAACCTCATAACTGGATTTCGAGAAGATTTATTCTTAGATGAAAAAAAAACCTACAGAAGCTGCAGGAGGAGAGGAGGTCAAAACTACTGTAGGTGGAGCCAAATTGAGGTTTTTGGTTGCGCCTTTTCATGTTACCAAGGAACTGAGTTGTGTGCGTGAAAGCGTGTTTGAATTACCTTTCCCTTTTCGAAAATACACTGTCAGTTCCACACAATACAACCAGGCCCCCGCCCCCCCCCTTTCCCCACCCTCCCGCAGAGAGGCAGATGCTTCTCCACCATCTACCAAAGATTCCGACGATAGCTTTCCGCATTCCGATTACCACGCTAGAATTTCTCAACCCCTTCCTAAAATAGCCTCAATTATCAGGAGGATATCGCTACAAGGAAGAACTCTGCCATTTTTAACTCACATAATTTCAAAGGAAGCGAACACGACAAACTCCACGAGAACGAACGGTAAATGCTCATAGTGGAGATAAGAGACCCAGTAGGCGCTTATGGCCTTGGGGAAGGGGGGGGGGCATTCAGAACAGGGCTGATGGTAAGTAACATTAGCACTAACCAGAGATGGCAGAAACGCTAGAGAGAAGACAAATGGTTCATATCCCTCTTCACGATCCCTTCGCCTCCCTAAGGCTTACTGTTAGTCCCATGTGCCATAAGTGGCTCACAAATTATTGTTCCCACCCCTCCAACGACATGAGCGCCGACCTACCCAAAAAGATGATAGCGGGCGCTCCGGGGCAGTGGCGCCTTATCAACGAAAAACCGCATGCTCCTACCCCCTCCCCCCCCCCCCCACCACCATTTCGGACGGGAAGGAGTGGCAACAGCCGCGTAGGTATTTACTTAATATGATAACAGTATCGTTATCGTCCGATTTGTGCACCTCATACCAAGCAGCCGTATCTTCTTATCTTATCGTACATATCTTCCCTGAGGTCATTCTCGTCCGAGCGTTCTCTATCTCAATTCTTACCTCGATTCTTTCCATGAATAACGAGTGGAACTTATATGCATTTCTAAGCCGATGCGATCGCTTCCTTGCAGAGCCAACGAATTGGCGCTATCACAACCTGCTCTGTACGAAAAAAAAAACCAAACATAAACCTCAAACTTACCCAGTAGATCCTGAGTGTTACGTTGGCCTGTTCAAATACTTTATTTATCTCTGGTATATTCCTTATGTATTCTTGGGACACGTTGCCTTCCTTTATCACATAAGCGATCATCAGATGATGTCCGGTCTACAACAATTACACTAATCATGGCAATAGTAAGCAGAAAAAAGGGAAAAGAAGAATGACAAAAGAGTAAGTGTTCTTCTACCTTGGCCAAATTTAATACTTCTTGATATGTGATCATTTTTTCTTTCCGTTTCCCACCAGTAGCAGCCGATTTGTCGGTAACATTCGCTTCATCGATAGTTTCTGGCTCGCCAGTCGTGTCCTCCTCGAAAGGTGGCACCTCTTCTCCCTGTGGTTCTGCAGTACCACTCTGCTCATCGTCGTTGGCTGCAGTATTGAGAACGAGCAGGGCAAAAACGACCAATAGCAACCTCATCGTGGCGGATAAAACCATACCCACTATGAAACGCTCTGATATATTCAATCCATATCGTCGCCACATCATCCGAAACCTGAGTTTTCGTGAAAAACCTGAAGCGCTATCATATTTTGATGAGTACGACTGTGTTGGGTACTGACTTCTCCTGCCGTACTGGGAGCAGCACCTGAGTGTCTTGCTATGACTGAAGGGCTTTTTGAGCTCATGCAGTCACTGGAGGCAGAAAATCCAGGGCGTTATTGCAAGATACGGAGGCATTGTGGTGGAATGCAGTTAAAACGCGCTAAAAATGGGACTAAGCCTTAAGAGAGAAATGAGAGACACCAAGGTGCGCAAGCCATTTTCGTCCCCCCTCCCCACCCGAAGTTCCTCCTAGGCTTAATCCAGAGGATGCCCCGTATATTGCAATAGCGCCAAATCCATTATCAAGGTTCGACGTTATCGCAAGATGGGCCCAGAAAGGGGCAGAAACTCCGGGAAAATGAAAATTGCTCACCCACTCTGAAGCCTCTCCTGCCCCACGCGTCTTACAAGAGAGGTCTTTCAGGATGTGGGGCCTTTTTCAGAACTGATCAGATGCCTTCCCAAATTATTTTCCTGCACGTCGTAGAAGCTCAGGCGTGGAACACAGAGTCATGGTCCATTTTTCCTGAACGCTTCTAGGAATGTCAAAACAGTGGTGAAGAAATGGTCCAAGTTCGATCCCCGGTGATGACTAATTTTTGCAATTTAGTTTGGCGCCTCCAGATTGCCGCCAAATGGCGCCATCGTCGAGAATAGATGTCACTGTCGTGTTTTGCGGCAATTTGGAGGCGCCAACATAAATTGCAAAAATTTGTCATCACGGAGGATCGAACTCTGGACCATTTCTTCACCACTGTTTTGACACTTCCTAGAAAAATTGGATCACACTTGTTCTTCCTCGCATGAGCCTCTACAACAGGCAGGGAAGCATTCCGAAAGAGCGCTCCATGTCCTAAAAGACTCCCCTTGCTAGTCCCGTTTTCAAGAAAAAGGAGATCCCTACGCGGTTTTGAGCGCTTTCTCCCACAATGCTCCGAACCTCGCGACAGCGCCCAAAGCTCACTACAATAAAAGAAAATACGCGCCCCTATGGGTATCTTTTATCATACTTGCTTTGTCAATTTTCACCTAGCGCATTTTACAGAACAGAACCAAAGAATGTTGCGCTACCCGTAGGGAAGCTGCGTCACGTTTGGTAGTTTCCAGACCATTACTATTCAGACAAGAAGTTTTCACATATACTCCCTTTCAAAAAACGAGAAGAGCGTCGGGTGCAGACCATACACCACAAGTGACGACGGCCTCCACAAAATGTAAATGTTTTCTGCCAATGAAATGATTAGCCTGTTGCAGTTGTATTCTATCAGTTGTCACTAATTACAACTATCATTTACCAAAAATCAGCTATCACTATGAACCACTACTAACCAGATTTACTTGGAGGCCGTCGTCACTTGTGGTGTATGGTCTGCACCCGACGCTCTTCTCGTTTTTTGAAGGGAGGGTAGGAGCTGGTGCTATTTCGTCCATTGATGAACCTCAAAATTCGTGTCAGGCGCCACTAGCCTGCCCGCATTGAACATGACTAACCACCCACATGTTTGTCCTACACAGACCCAATGGTTAGAGCCTAAAGCGCCAATAGACGCCGCGTCGTGTGGGCGTAATTATACATCCCTCACTACGGCATCGCGCCGTAAACAACCCGCGTCGCCGCGATTGACATCTCTTGGCCATCATCCCACCGTTCGCAAGATACGTCGCCTCGGTTATTGAATTGTACTGCATTTGAGAACATTGCTTAATGTCACAATAAAGACTTGTGGTGGCCTAAAATTCTTATTGCTCAATAAATTTACAACAGTTCAAAATGGATCACTGAAAGCATGAATTGACAAATGAAGCTCAAAACTCTAGTACAGTAATGTTTCGTAATGTTTCAACCAGATAATTCAACCATTTCATCATGCGAACCACTCCCTAGCCGAACGAATGGCTTCAAAGAAACAACGCTGTCACTTATAATTAACAACTATTAGTAAAATGAAATAAAGTCAAAATAATGCTGAACCACCAATGACTCCCACCTTCGTAATCAATGTAACTTCTTCTCTCACCTGCTATTTTTTTTTTGAGACTTAAAGAGGCTCCGTTCCCGAAACCAGCACAGCTCAAACAAGGCATGCGACTAAGTAGAATTCATCAACGAAAGTAAAAACTAGTATGCTGAGACCTCAATTCGCTTAACTTAAACAATAGCCGTTTTCAAGTAGTAAACAAGTGAGCGAAACAGTTCTTACGAACTACCACTGAACTAACTTTAAACCTAAGCTATAAAAGCAATTACAGAATTAATCACTCTTCTTTGCTCCGGGAGCCGACTCCAGATCGTCACGCCCGGGAAATGGTTGAGGTTTGTCTCGCGGTTGATTGCTGCCAGTTGTAGCCACGTGAGGTGCTCGTTGCTCTGTGGACGAATTTTGCGTCAATTGAGCCTTATTAACAATTACCTTATATTTCAATACGGGCGTCAGTATGTTGCTTAACAGCAAAGGAGTGAGGTGTGAAGAGGAGACCCATAAGTAAAAGAATACTAGAAAATGCCGAAGTTCTTTTCCCGGAGATTGGATAGAAATTATCTAAATGTAAATCTAAAAAGACAAGATTGTGGTCGACGGGAAGAGTTCTCATGTGCGAGCGAAAATACTAGACACTAATGCATTCGTTATGGTTAGACCTCGGTCAGACTCGCTGTACACCAGCGACGGAATCGCTGGTGTACAGCGACGCAATCGCCGAGTCTGACCAGAGTCTACCAGGCGCATCAACCCACTACCTAGCCTTTACTATCAGAATCGCGAATGTGGGCTTCACATCTGGGGTTCAACCGGTCGACGGACTACTTGAAGGGCTGCGAACCCAGTCCCTTTCTTAAAGAAAAGATCACTGACTTCTTATGGGCAGAATAAAGACTAAGAAAAGCAAAAAAAAAATGAGAGAAGAACATCACTAATCCATTGCAAACTCCAAAAGTGGAATTAGCGAAAAATATTAAACATTTAACCCAAAAAAGGAGAAAATAGAACCGCATGAAGACATGAGTTCAGACTGGATCACAGTTTAGACGAAGTCAAAATGAAAATGAAATGAGAACGAAGGATTGCTCATTAAAATGGATAGAGTTCTTGATCCCCTAACTAGCAATTCAACGAACCTGCTGCCTCACGCGATTCAGAGCCAATTCATCTTCGCTGGGCGGAAATCGTCGTGTGCCCTCAACCAAGACTGCCACTCAACGCTGGGTTCGGAAGTCGGTGCATTCGGTGATGGATCGTACCCCCTAAGAACACAGCCAAGGAGAGTGAAAAAAGCAAAGTTGGCAACCCATTACAACAGAAACAATATCTTTCAAAGAGCCCCGAAGAAACAAAGACATATCCTTTCTTTACAAGCTACATTTAAGTTGTTATTTTCGCAATTTGACAAAGCTGTTTATGTTCGGCGAAGAATGGAGCTACCATTTGCGCGAAAGCAGAAGCAGAACAAAACTCAGCTGTGACATCTGTCGAGTGTATTTCTGATCTCCATAGTATCGACGACCGGCCGCATCTTCAGCAACATAAGTCTGAAAAACAATGAGGAATTTCACTGGTCAATACACTCTGTCGACAAATGTTGCACAAGGTCCAAAAAAAATGTCAGTAAATTAAAAATAAAGGGAACCAAAGTAATTCACCTTTGTGGACCAGTCTTTTCGCAGATATCTCTTGAAATTGTTCCACACCGTAGCCCACGCTCCTGGACGGCTGCAATCTTAGCATTTTGTAATTAGAAACTAATCAACAAAAGTGTAATTATGAACTTCACAAAGAAAAATTACATCACCAGTTCATACGCAGAAGTGTTGTTTTGCCCGCAATCACGAATTCGAAGGAAAAATTAAACTGCTCAACTTTGGAAAACGTATGAAGGACGATTTTTTCCCACTAAAACTGCTGAAGGTCCTTCCATGGCAGCTTAATACTGTCAGTCACTGTATTACCGTTACTGTGCGAATCTGATTAAAACTAAAAAAAAAAGATTTCTTTGGAACGATTCATAGGGAGGAGCCTCCACACGACCTGGATCTGATACCCAAAAGAACTTTTCTTTTCGGTCAATAAAATACTGAAAATCTTCAATTTTGAATTCAGATGGGTGAAATGGAATCCAGCGACCAGTTGAGGAGGGGTTCAGAAAAATATCCTGCAGTAAATACTGTATAAGTATAACAAGAAAGAAATGTAAGAGAAAAAATCGCGATAGACGCGTCATGATGATATGATCAACGATTGGACATAAATGAACATGCTTTATTTGGTGAATAATTATTTACAGCTCCATCAGTAAGAACAAAAGACGAGATCAATTGATATTAGCGGTAATGTTGAAATGCTAGACTTCTTATTTACAATAAAAGAAATATTGTAACTTCTAATGATTAAGATTTGTAAGCACAAGGTGTATAGTTATGTACCTGATTGAGTTTTGAATTTGAAGCAAGAATATGATTCAAAAACCTTTCAAGAAATATATAACACGGTTAGTCAAGGCGCATATATATGCCTGTATCGAGAAATCACTGAGTTTTGAACTAACTACATTTACATGCATAAATTATATCACGATTGAGCAATCTTTACAATCATAGAAAGAATAGAAAGACATCGCTATAAATCATATCTAGCTAATAACGAGTAATCTAATCCTAGGATGAGGTGACTTCCTTACTGTTGCTTACACTCAGGTTCCTCGTGCAATGGCAACTTTCGCTCCTTTGGTCGAGGAACAGCTCTGGAACATAAAGAAAACTCTGCTAACGATAATGAGCAAAGATGTGACGCTTGAACAGAGTGGCTCTTCTCCACAGAAATTTATCTTTGAACAAGAATATACTACAGTAGTACATGGCACCAAGTTACAGATAATTAGAGTGCGCTACTAGTAATTATTAAAAAAGAAAAAAGCTAGGACACCTCGACATTGTACCGTACCCTTTGAAATAAAAAAATGTTAATCATCTAAATTTAATGGCGACATTGTACCGTACCCTTTGTAATCCAAAAAATGCTATTCATCTAAATTTAGTAGCAATCCTCCCCGTCCTTGGCTTTATCGAGATCCAAAGAGATCCAAAGAAATAGTAATAGTAAATCGACCCCTTTCAAAGTATTAAGGTCTACTTTGCACCTGTTCCACCTTCGTGTCAA